TTCAGGCATATGCCCTGACTGGGAGTTGAACCGGTGAGCTTAGTTTCTGGATGGATGCTCAACTGCTGAGCCATACCCAGCTGGTCTACCTTTTTATCTATTTTAAAGCATATGATCTAAGGGGCAGAACACTAAGCCTTAATGTTACTATTCTACAAAATTAAAACATGGAAATTAGAGTAGACTGAATTCTCATGGGCAGACACATCACTGTAGGCTTGGGAAAACAGTAGGGAATTGGGGAAGAGTGAAGATAGGAAACAGTGAAAGACATACTCAGGTTGCAAAGCCCTGATCAATAACCCCCACAGACAGTAAGTCAAACCAGAGCTCAGACACACAATCAGCAAACTTTCTTGCTACTAAGCAACCTTGGCTTATCAGAGATCAATAACCAGTGGGTTATAAAAGACTACCTCCCACCCCAATGTGTCACCCTCAATATGTCCTCCTTCCCTGTTCACAGGAATTGATGGGCTGTCCATCGCTATGCCTTGATCTTTAATCCCAACATATTTATAAGGGCATCATGGCTTTTTTTATGCAACAGCTAGCTAGACTCTCAAAAAATTAGGGGTACAAAAATGAAATATCTGTAAGATTCAATTGACTTCACTATTCTGGTAGTGACTTTTTTTGCTAAGAGTTGATAGTGGGCAAATGATCCATTCAAAGGTAAACAATAAACCACAGCCAACCAATCAAGTAGTGTGATGATTATTACCTCTAGACCTGAGACAAAAATAAAGAGGGAGGAAGGAGATTTTCCTTTCAACCCTTTCACTTCAGAAGAGAAGAAACCAGATTTAACTTCCCTTAGAAGTGCAGCTCCACAAGAATGACTTATCAGAAGACCATTAACTAGGGAGGACTGAGGCTTGACCCTGGCAACAGCCCACTGGGAGAGGGGAAAGAGGGAGGATAAAGGGGCAGCTCTCCCACCAGTGCAGGAAAGTATGAATAGGAAGGCTTTCTCAGCCTGCTGATCCCAGCTAGAACACAACTCTGTTCCTTTGGCTTCCTTCCACTTGGTAGCATATGCCTACTACATATGAAGCCTCTCACCTATCTACAGAGACTGAGTTCCAAGTACATAGACACTAGAGTCTAGCTCTAGCCCATTCCCAAATGTTAGCCGTGTAAAGTCAGTTTGCCAGGTAAGAAGCAATCTAGAGGTCATCTAGCCCAGTCTCTGTATTTTATAGGTGAGGAAACCAAGGCACATAAAATTAATCACCTTGCCTGGTGTTACCATACAGACAGCTATCAGCTGTCACACAGCTGTTTAGTAGCAAATCTTCTCTAACAGGTACTCCCAGTCAGGTACTCTTGCTACTATTATACCACTATACCTCCTAGGGAAGCAATAGATACTGAACTCTGAAGAGGGCACCAGGACAGGAACAAGAGCTGAGATTGGATAGAATTTCTGCCTCTATTCATTTTAGATAAGTACTTCCTTTGGGACTAAACGTTAGGAAGACCTAGGCTTCCCTGGGTACTGGGATCCAGTCCCACATCCTTCTGACAAAAGGACTCATTATTATGCCTTTCTACAAGGTCTTGACCAACACCTGCCAGGACAGCTGAAAGAAACAATTTAATGGAAGGTGATAGGGAAAGAAGTGGTAACTTTTGCAGAATTCAGTGGCCTTGGGATTAATGGGAGAGATTTATTGAGTATGGAAGATAGGGCAGAAGCCAGTAAAAACCTTCAACTTGCAAACTTTACTTAGATTCCAAATTACAAACATCTTGAACTGAGAGCTCCACTATTTGGCTCAGCTCTTTCATTGTGTTGATCTAGTGTTAACCAGTGAATCACTGGCTTGAGAGAGTCCTTCCACTTCCCCCTCTCTTTCCCTTATATTTCCCTAAGAGGCAAAAAGCATACTTCTCTCTTATCAGCATGGTAGTACAAACTCCCTACTATTGACCTAGGAAAGATTGGAATGCCCTTTCACACCTTGCCTGCCTAGCAAACTTCTAATGTATTTTTTAAAGCCCAGCTCAAATGTCACCTTCTCTATGAAATTGCATAATTACCCTCACCCCAGCAGTATTCATCACTGCTTCCTCTGGGGTCACACAGTATTAAGACTGTATTACTATCACAGCATTTATTATGTCATATTAGTTTAAACTATGTACTTCTCAAAAAGTGTGACTACTTTTTATGTTATCTTGAATCTCCAGAGCAGAGCACAATACCTGATCCCTAGTAGATGTTCATTAAATGCTCCTTATATTAAGGCCAAAGCAATCCTGCTTCCTCCCTCCATTAACTCCTCCCCTTCCATGCCATCTGGATAGCTTCTTACTTATTTCCAGTTGGAAAAGTTTTTAATCAGCCTCAGAGAACCAATTCTCTCCCTGGCTGCTTTGTGATCTCCCTTGGATGGAGGGCCCCCTAGGGACCCAACCCACAAGGTACTGTTGCAACTCATATGGGCTAACTGCTTTTCCTGTCACCCGTTACTATGCCTCAAATGGCCTAATCACACCGAACATGTGGCCCTCCCACCCTAACACTGAAGCAACTATGGCTAAATAAAAAAATTCCCTGAATTTTCAGTTGATATTAATGTTCAACAAACTTTGGGCCATTATCTCTATTAATTTTTTATCTTGAGAAACACAAATTAAAAATAAAAAACACAACACCTCATACAGCCCTAGCTGGTGTGACTCCATAGATAGAGTGTTAGCCTGGGGACTGAAGGGTCCTGGGTTGGATTCTGGTCAAGGGCACATACCTCGGTTGCAGGCGCAATCCCTGGCAAAGGCATGTGGGAGGCCACCAATTGAAGTGTCTCTCTCACATCAATGTTTCTATGTCTCTTCCTCTCCCTTCCACTCTCTTTAAAGATATCAATGGAAAAATATCCTTGGGTGAGGATTAACAAAAACAACACACACACAAATACTCATACCACCACAGAGCTTGAGGACACTGAAAAGGTACCCGCGGTCCCTAAACAGAAGCTACAACCTGGTTCAGAAATGTGCACAGAATTTGCTCACACGGGTGGCTCCTTACTCAGCTTAGTTACTATTCAGTCAATGACTAAATCTTTCCTAAAATACTCTTGGGAAGTGGGAGTGTATTGTGTAGGGTTTTAAGGTATCCTTCCTCCTAGAGAGCTGTTGCATTTCCTTAAGTCACTGTCTTACACTTTGTTTACTTTCCAATCTGAATGCCTTACGAATAGGAGCTATACACTTACTTCTCCTACCCTCTGCCTCCTCAGAAGTCAAATCCTTATCTATGCACACAAACAAGCAAACTATAGAAGAGCTATCTTGCTCCTGGGCAAAGTAAGAGAAGATATAAGGTATGACTTCAAGGGCAATAGGAAAGCCCCCTTCTCCAAGTAAATTTTTGTAACTCAAGGTTTATATTTGAAATTCTATATTGATAATTCCACTCCTTAGCTCCTTCTTATGAAACAAAAACTCTTGGGAAGATTAATACTTTAAGGGACTATTTGTTACTTACACCTTAATATGAAGCAATTCCAGATCATTTCTTAAAGGTCGGCTTTGATTAAGGAAAAGACCAAGAAATATATAAAGAAAGGGACAGGATATCACCAGGATGTAGAACACGGCAAAGTCTAGAGAGGATTAAAACACACATACAAACTCCTACAATTTTCTCTAGGACTGGCTTTGCCGGAGAGGAAATAAAAACTCCTGGGGGACACAGTCAAGGTTTCTGTACAAAGGCTGGGCATATCAGAGGACTTCTAAAGCCAGTAAGGATAAATTCAACAAGGAGGTAGTATGAAATGTCCCAGTTGTGCTAGGTTTAAAGGACAGCCAATTTCTTACCTAGAGAAACTTGGGAACTTCTCATAGAAAGATTCAAGGGACCCTTAGGAGAACCATCATCTTCTTTTAGGATAATGAAGGGACAGTCATATAATCTACACAGGCAGAGACCATGAACAAGAAGATAGAGGTCTCAAATTTCTCATTTAGCAGAGATGCCAATAGTACTCCCAAACAAAATGATTCTCCTTCACGTTTTTTTTCCTGCTCATAAAAGAGAAAAAAGTTTTGGCCATCTATCTGGGCATTTTCTAAGATTCCCACCGCACAACTGGGGTGTGTGCAAGGTGAGGGATAACCCAGAGTACAGCTCTTTGCTTGTCTGAATTTGATAGAAGCAAGACAAGAAGAACTGTGAAGGAGCACAATAAATAACAGAGTATCATCCCAGAAGGGAAACTGAAAAGAACGAGACCAGCGTTTGGTAGGAACATAAAGCAAAATTGCCTTTGGTGGCACATTCCCCAACGCAAGCAAGATTGGTCTCATCTGCTATCTCTTATCTCTGACCTTTCTGGATGAAATGTAATTGGTGAGATTATGTGTGGGGGCATTTACACTTTTTACACTTATGTACAGCTTGAATATTTAAAAATATGTACATATTACTTTTCACATTAAGAAGGAATGTAGTGACAAAATACATTGGTATAAAAGGAAAAAAGGAGGAAGTATAAGGGAAAACCCAAAAAGATCCAATCTATGGGAGACTAAGGTCAGAAGACCATTAAAAACATATGGGAGGAGGGGACTCCTGTGCCTTAGAAATACATCTTCCTTTTCTCTACTCACCCCTTTCCCCAAGTGTCTTACTGTTTGCTATTTTTTAAAAAAATATATTTTTATTGATTTCAGAGAGGAAGGGAGAGGGAGGGATGGAAACATCAATGATGAGAAAGAATCACTGATGGGCTGCCTCCTGCACGCCCCCTACTGGGCACCCAGCCCGCAACCCCGGCATATGCTCTTGACTGGAATTGAACCTGGGACCCTTCAATCTGCAGGCGGATGCGCTATCCACTGAGCCAAACCAGCCAGGGCTGTTTGCTATTTCTAGCCGGGGCTCCTGAAGAAGTAAACAAAGAACAGGGGTGATGGCAACCTTGTGGAATAGAATTTCTCTTCCCCAAATCCCTTCCTCAAGTAATATCACTTCTTATTTCCAGGGTTGGTTCCACCTCATCATTACCTGCCTAGGAAACAACCAAGTCTAAGTCCTACAAAGTTTCACTGACTATGGCTGGAAGCTGTCCTGGTGGCTGGGGAATCCCTCAGCCCCTTTCCAGGGCAGAGGAGCTGGCTCATTCCCCACTTCCAAGTGAGAGCTATGGTATCCACCACAGACCACATTACTGCGTGGGAAAACAAGCAAACATCCCCCAAATCCAACTTCTCAGCTCTTGCACAAGCACTGCACCCTAAACCATCCGAGGCTGGTAGGAAGAAACTGACAGCGTGCACTCTCCAGCTGAAGCCAAGGGAAAGTGGAGGGTCTGAGTTTGGAACAGCCAACAGTCACAGGAGAAAAAAAAAAATTATGTTTGTTTTCATTGGCTACCCTGGGAGTACCCAAAACTTCCAGTTACCACATCTCCACACTCAATGGGAACAAAAGAGTGGGTCCTCCTAAGCCCCAGAGCCTCCAGCCCACCCTGGAGCGATCCCACAAGCTGCACGGTGACGCCAGGCCCTGCGTCCAGCTCCCCAGCTACCTCAGCCTTCTCGGTTAGGGAAGCTTTCTTCGCTGGCCTCACGAACCCAAATCCTCCTCTCCGCGCAACTCCGGGGCACCCTCGCTATTGTTATAATTGTCACTTTCCCGGAAAAAGAAGGCTTCCTACCCAACTCAGAACCCTTCTTGGGCCCTTCCAATCAGACCTCTCGAGAGCGCCAGCCCCGGTGACGCTCGGGGCCGGGCGTTGGGGCTGACCCCTCCTCACCTCCCCGCAGATGGGCTTACCTCACCGGCTGCCCGGCCTTTCCTCCAGCTCCTCCCTCTCAGCGCTGCTCAATGAGGCCTGCCCTGCCCTCACACAGACCGGGGCCTCGCGTGCCCACTCCCAGCCCCGCCGCCGGCAGAACCCAGCCTCACCAACTTCGGGCTCCCAGCCCGCCTAGCCCCCTCCCCAGCGCCCCCATAAGGCCTGCCGGGGCCCGGCCCCCTTCTCCCCTCTCCAGCGGGCCGCTCTAACCCCATCGCTGAGGCCCAGACCCGCCTCTGCTCTCAGGCCAGGCTGCTCTCCTCTCCCGGGCGCCTCCGCCCCTACCCTACAGGGCTCCATCAGCCCGGTACCTGGGGCTCCGTCTCCCCCGTCGGGCCCAAGCCTGTGTCGAACAGACAAACAGCCGCAGCTCAACCAAACCCTCCAGCCCCTCCTCCTCCTCCTCGCCCTGGGGCGGGGGCCCCGGCCAATAGCACGATTACGCCTACCATCAAGGGTGGGCTCTGTGTGCGCCGCTCCGCCAATCCTCCGGAGAAAGGCGGGCCTGTTTCGGCGCTGTCACCAACGAGGACTAGCCTGGGACCGGACAGGCGTGTCCCCAGGCCAATAGGAAGAGGGAAACCTTGAATATGGACAGGGTGAGGAGCCATTGACAGGGAGCTCCCCGAGACAGGAGGCGGCACACTGTTGACAGGCGTACAGACCAACCAATAAACTCTTGACACCCTCATGACCCCGCCTTTTGACTCATAAACATCTAATCAGGTGAGTGACGGAGGCGGGCCGAAGGGAAACTTTAACCAGTACTGCGAAAGTTCGGGACTTGAATGGCAGGCAAGGCGGGGTTGAAGGAAGCCTCTGACCTTCGCCCCTCCCCCCGGATTTGGCAGGGACTGACGAGCGCCCCTCCCTCTAGGACCAATTTGCGGGCGTGAAGGGAAATACCTCTCCGTGGGAGCCAGAGCCTGGGGGTTTAAGCAGCCTTTAAGTCGGGGCTTCCTCCTCTTAGTGGGGCCTCAGAGTACAGGGAAGTTTACGGTGGGCGGTCTGAGATGACTTTAATGAGGGGAGACAATGGCAGCCCCACGAACCGGTAGCTTGGGGAGACTTTAGCCCCTTCATAATATTTCATCCAGACAATTGACACTATTATAAGTCGTGTTATAAAGGTGAATAACGTATATTTAGAAAACTTTGGTGTTTGTGATATGCAACAAAAAGGAAAAATGACGAGCTTACTGGGAAATGCAGTGTCGAGGTGAAATCCGTGGAGCCCACCTGCAATCATATTGCTGCTCTCAAGCCCTTCCTAACACTGAAATTCCAGAACTCAGTATATGTGTCTGTGGTTATATGTGTGTTGGGAGAGAGGGGTTGGGGTGGGGAGGGGAGGGGTAGGGGGAGATGCAGGTTTGTGGGGAAAATATGAAGGCTTCAGTTTCTCCAGCTGTAAAACAGGGCAACAATTCCCACTTGCCCACCGTCGGCACTATCCCAATTTCATCATAGAAGTCAAAATGCGGTGGGGTGAGTAGGCCTGCTCAGAGAGATGAGGAAAAGTGGGGGTCTGAAACCAATGATCATATATACACATTCATATTCTCTCACACCATTCTTTCAATAAATAAGTACACAAAAGTAAAGGAGGGAAGATAAACTACAAATAACACTAGTAACTTTTTTTTAATGAATTACAAATAATGTTAATAGCAAGAACACTTAAGGACAAGAGGTAAGAGAAAAGAAAAACAATATTTTTTTAAACATTTGCATTACAAAACCCCAAGGTGCACATGGCAACAAATTCACCCACTCCCACTAAAAAACTACTATAACCTGAAATATAAATATAATTATTCATCCTTCTTTTAAAGAAATATTTTATCTCCGTGCTCCCACTCATTCACAGCCCTAAAAAAGTGTCAGTATTCTCAAAATGATGTCTAATCTTTACTTCCACTCCTATGGGGGTGGCTTTCAGAGGAAGATTTGCCCTGCCACCTGAATAACTAAGAATTTTAAAAGAGAAAATCCAAATATCTTTCACTTGCCTCATAAGGCCGCGGTGAAGCATAATCCCTGTCCCAGACATCCCTTGCCTATAGGAGGGACAGGAGGGGCAGATAAGGGCACTGGGGGCAATCATTTCTACTGTAGCCCCAACAGGATTGCAGAGGCTGGGAGTCCTGAGACTCTCCGACTGTTAGGGGAGAGCAAACACTGAAACTGGGGTATAAACTGGTTGGATCTATTTTTTAATTTTTCAAAACAGGCCCCTCTCTATGTTTTTGTTTTGCTTGGTTTTCAAAATTCCAATTGTCATCAATTGGCCTAACAAACACAGTGGCAGCAGGAGGTTTGGGGCCTCTGTCATCTCAAACACAGGAAATAATAACTGTGGGGCTTTCAGAGATTGGAATGGCAAATCCTATGTGGGGGGAGAGGAAAGAGTCAGACTTTTTTTTTTTTTTAAACACCAGCTCTCCTTAGCAATGACTAAGGAGGGTTGGTAGAGGCTGACTTAAGTGCATCTAATACTGAAGTTTCCTTTTATTTTTTTCCCCTCCGACCCCTTGTATCCCCAGAGTTGGCTGGCTAAGAAGGAAAGTAAGGAGTGTTAAGGCAGCCAGACAAGATAGAGGACACCCATAGCCCAAGGCCAAGCCAGATCAGGCCCCCCACTGGAGGAGAGGGTGAGACCGGGGGCTTGGAGAAGGACATCAGAGTCGAAGATGGGGTACTGGCTTGGTCACATCCTGGAAGAAAGGGTGAGTCAGAGCTGCCTTTGCTGAAATCCGTTTGTTGGGGTCGTAGTGCAGCATTTGCTGGAGGAAAAGATGTATATTGACTTCAGTGATGTGACAGCGGGCTTAGTGGACAGCAAGTATTCCAAGAATTCGGGAAACCAGAATTCATTTTACCCAATGCAGAGTTCCCATTTCCCTCCTCCCTATATCTGTCCGGTCAGTTGGTATGCCAACAGGAAGACAGAAGCAGGAGCTAGGGAAACACTGAGACTGAATCCAGGGGCTTACCCTTCCTTCCTCCAGGAAAAACCCTGCCCTACGGTAGTCAATGAGAGGAAAGGGAGCCCACCCCCCATTCTCACCGATAATAAGCTCCGTCCATCTTCATCCAGGGGAGGCACAACTTTACTAAAATCTTGCCGGGCCCACTTGGGGAAACTTGGCTTATAATCAGGCATAGAAGTAACTCCTGGCCAAACCACCTCATCTGGGGTCCCCAGAGTCCGAAAGATCCGGAAGAGTTGGTCAATCTCAGAATCTCCAGGGAATAGGGCCCGGCGAGTCACCTGAAAATGGGGAAAGAGGAAAGGCCGAGACCCACATTGGCGTCAGTCAAAACTGCCCCTTGTATAACGGAGGTTCCCGCAGGCGGTGGAAGGTCAGTAGGGCCCCATGACTCCCTCCCCAGGGCCTTTCATGGGGTCAGTCACACAGAGCCTGAGACAATAAAGTCCCTTCATCCGTCTCCTCGCCCCCTCCTTCCTTCCCCCAACCATGGTTTTGCAGATCCCCAAGGCTGGGTGGGACTGGGAGGGGGTGAATGTCTGGGGTGCCACTGACGTGTAGCAAAGGGATCCCAAGCCACTCACGGGGTGTGGGGTAGACACTGCGGTCATCCCCCCTCCTTGTGATGCAGCCACTTCTAGATAGGAGCACAGCGTGCAGAGACTGTGTCTTCCATTTCTTCTGTGTTCCCCACAGCACTTAGCATGGTGCTGGGTACACACTAGGTGCTTAACAAATATTTTTTGATGAATTGAGAGAGGAATATGGGCAATTGTAAAGTAATGCACTGGGGGATAAATGCACATTATATATATAGGCTAATGGTCTCCAAGCCCCCGGTTACAACCCAGATGAAGGACCATAAAACATATTGATTTGATTTAAAAACTCAGCCCACTCCATTATTGTATTAAATGGGACAACAGTTCACATATTCAGGCTGGGCCTCAGGGATCCTTCAGTCTCAAAAGCCAGAGGTTGAGTGGGGACATGAGCTAAGTTTGCAGTTTAAGTAAAAAATGTGGATAAACTGAACACAGGTGGCTTCACTGCATTCCTCACACCGTACAAGACGGTCTCCAGGCCAAAGGAAGGAAGCACTAAATGGAACTCATGCTACCAAATATAGGCAGACTAAAGCAAAAGCAGCTACAGAAATTATTTAGCTTAACTTGGGGATCAGAGATGTACAAGGATGCTAAAGCTATTTGAGGCTATCCTAGCATTGTGGTTGACACCAGGAACAACAGTCCTATCCTTTTCCCACCACCCCTGAGTGCTACTCTAGAGAAAGAACCCCTGTGATAATAGAAGGGCCATGGATCTGGGCCAAGAAACAGTTCTGTTGTTGAATGCGGGGAGGAGTGGGCCAGGGTGGAACTCAGGCATGTATCTGTACCATCTCAGCAAAGATGCAGCCGAGGCTCCAGATGTCCACAGCTGTGGAGTAGTATTTGCAGCCCAGAAGGATTTCAGGTGCTCGGTACCACAGGGTCACCACCTGAGGACAAGAGTAGGAAGGGGAGGGTTGGTATATGGGGCATGGAGATTCCATCTCAGTTCCCCAGCACTACTCTAACTCCTCGCCTCTTACCAAGCAGCTTCTTTCCCTCCATCCTTCCCTTCCCCCTGGTTTTTCCTCAGCAAAATGACTACATACATCTTAGCCCAGAATGAGCCTAGCCCGTGACTCTGGGACCATATTTTCTGAACCCCCAATTTGTGACCCGCATGGGAAACTTGAGAGAACTGGTCATAACTTTAATGGTGTGCCATCCAGCTCGCCTGGCTTGGTACCTATCAAAGCCCAGTTAGCGCTGCAGTGTGAACTCTGTGCATACTCTAAGACCTCTTGAGGTGTCAGGAATACTCTCCCTCTAGAGTGGGGGTAGGGAATGTCCCGCTGTGGGCTTTATAAGGCCCAAGAAATCATTTGGTCTGGCCCTGCCAAGGCATTAGGGGTGCGTTAATTAAACGTTTGATTATCAGACTGATTTTTTGTTGTTGTTGTTAATACTCACCTGAGGATATTTTTCCATTGATTTTTAGAAAGAGTGGAAGGGAGGGGGAGAGACAGAAAGAAACATCCATGTGAGAGAGACACATCAGTTGGTTGCCTCCTGCACGCACCCCAACTAGGACCAGGGATGGAGCCTGCAACCAAGGTACGTGCCCTTGACTGGAATTGAACCCAGGTCCCTTCAGTCTGAGGGCCGCTGCTCTATCCACTGAGCAAACTGGCTAGGGCTAGCAGGCTAATTTTTAAGTTGGTAATTTTGTATAGCCCTCAAATGATGTTATAAATATCCAAATGGCCCTTGCCAGAAAAAAGGTCCCCCACCCCTGCTCTAGTGAGAGAGAAACTGCTGTCCAAATATTTTTAGTTACTTTTTGAATGTCCTTGTTAACACCTCCCAGGGAGTTCAGAGAAGAAATGTGGAGAGGGACTGACCTCATGGGTGTAAGTACGAACAGGGACTCCAAAGGCTCTGGCTAGTCCAAAGTCTGCTAGTTTGATGGCCCCCTCTGCGTTGATAAGCAGATTCTGAGGTTTGAGGTCTCGGTGCAGGACCCGGTGAGAATGGCAGAAAGCTAGGCCCTGGAGCAGCTGGAACAGATAGCTCTGACAATGGAGAGAGAGAGAATTATGTTTCTTTATCACCTCCAAAGCTCTACTACAGCTTTTCCTATATTAGATTAT